AGAAAATTATTGTATTTATTTATTTACATTAATGATTAAAACTATTTAAATTAGGGATTAAAACATTATTTAAAAAAGAATAATAATATGACAAACTAAAAATATAACTTAATAATCCAAAAAATTAAAGATTACCTCAATAGGTGAATATTTATACAACACCATTTCCTTAAAAAAAAAAAAACATAAATTAGGTTAGTATTTATTTATAATTGTAACCAAAATGGCTCTGATCAACATATAAATGAAATTGAGTGTTAATTTACATAAATAAAATTTACTTACCCAATGATTATCTCCTAATTTTTCCTAAAAAACAAAATTAAAAAAAAATAGAATTGCAAATAAATCGATTAATAACACAAAATAATATTTAATCAAATAGGGAGAAAAAAAGAAAAAGAGGAGATTAAGAAGATATAAACCTAAAATTATATAAATATAATGTAATTATAAACATAAATAATTAAACAAGTAGCATTGAACGGAAAAGAAAAAGGAGCCACAGATAAGGGAGGAGAAGAAAAAGGAAGAAGAAGAAGGAGGAAAGAAGAAATGAGTCGGGCAAAGTGGGGTGAAGTATATATAAATGATTGTACCTATGTGTGCTTTGTCAGTATTTATTTTACCGACAAAGTTAACATAGGTATTTAACCTCAAGGAGGGAATCGAAAAACCAAAAAATTTTGCAATCTCACCCAAATTATCGACCAGGTTCACGTTGGTATGTTGCTTCCTAATTTACCGGCCAAAATCATGTTGAAACTATTGAAATCGCCGACAAGATGCATGTTGGGGAAGACAATTTCTTGACGTGCAGCTCATCGGTAAGTATGGCTGGTAAAACCCCCAGGTTGCACAACTTCCTTTCTAGATTAACTAATATCCAATAAACTAATTAATGACAATATTTGATAGTTTAAATTTCAGAAAAAAAAAAATAAAACATACATAAAATATATATATAAAAAATAATATTCCTTAAGTTTTCCTTACCACTCCTTGATTCACCACTATAAGAAGAAAAATGTTGGAGCGATTTGAAGGAAAGAATAAAGTAAAAGAGAGTAAGAACTACATGCTGCCTGATCCACCACTCTAAAAAGAAAAACGTAAAAGTGATTCAAAGAAAAGAATGGAGCAAAGGAGAGCAAGAACTAGTTGCTACTAGAAGAGGAAAACAAAAATGAAAGGAGGAAGACCAAAATGAAAGGGAAAGGGGGGGTCTCGGCAGGCAATAAGAAACTTACTGATGAGATCCATATTGCTGCCATTTAAAGCTGATAATCTTTGCATTGCTTCAAGATTCTAGTTGACCAAGAGCATCACTGACAAACCTCTGGTTGGCAATTATGTTTAGCAACTTAAAACTTGTTGGTAAATTAGCTAAAAAGCTGCAAAATCAGGCTGGAGCAGCCCAGCCGGATTCACGGGGGTTTGCATTGGTGGATTCACAAGAAACACAACGTCGAAAATTTGAACAAAAAGTTGGAACTCTTGGCGCAACCAGTTAGATTCATGGGATAAGTTGGGCTTTGAGATTACCGACAATAAGCACGTTGGTAAGTTGAATAAAAAGTTGTAGCTCCTAGCGCAATTAGCCAGATTCAAAGGGGAAAGTTAAGTTGTGAAATTACCAACAAGAAGCATGTCGGTAATTTTTGTTTTGGTTCGCAGGTCGTCAGACTAAACATTGCATGATATTTTCGACAAAGAACACGTGTGCATTGTTTTAATTTATCGACAAAGATTTGTCTGACCCATAAATAATATATATTACTCTTAATTTAATTATTTTCAGATTTTCAGACATGTTGCTTGTTGATAAATTGTTGATTCACCAAGGAAAATTGTTAGGTCGGTGATTGTGGGTTGGTGAAGTTGAGTTTTCTAGTAGTAACATATTTTAAAATTATTTTATTTTATAAAATTTTAAAAGCACACTCTCTATTAATCTAGTGTATTTTTTTAAAAATAAAATTTTATAAATCAAAATAATTTTACTTACTCTCAAATTTGACAATCTTAATTAAGATTCAACCTTGCTCTTAAAAAAATAAAAATAAAAAAAATAAAAAGAAAAAGAAAAATAAAAAAGCCCTCCGTCCGACCAATCGACAACCTTGGTGTTGGGAAAATGGCTAATCTGTCGATAGAACCTTCCTCTTGCATCAACACAGTAGCACTGTTGGCAGGTAAGGCCCAGTGTTCGTACAATAAGGGTCCGTATAATGTACCATTTCGCCTGGGGGCATGGGTAAAATGCTACAACAATAATAATATATTAAGATCATATTAATTTATTGATACTATTTAAAAAAAAATGATAATCATTATTTCATAGGTAAAAATTAATTTATAAATTAATATTTTTAAATATTAATATTAATTATTTATAAAAAAAATTATAAATTAATAAAATATTAATCAAATTAAATATATTTAATGTAATTTGTGTAATATTAACGATCTAATTATTATTTGTTATAAAATTTTAATTAGTAATTCGTATAACCATTGTATAAGCTTTCTACTTATATCACCAGGATTTGAGTGTCCTTATCTTCATTTTCCTTTCCCCTTCCCCCTAGCCCCAATTCCCTTTATACAAAAAATAATAATAATAATAATAATAAATAAATTATCGCTTGCCATAACTACACTTCCACCTGTTTCTTCTTCTTCTTTTTTTGTCTTTTTACCTCTGCCCTGCCCTACCTCTTGTTTCTTCTTTTTGGGAATCAATTATCAATCTTTAACATACCAATAATAATAATAATAATAATAAATAAATAAATTCG